CTCAATTCAACGATATCTACAGACAGTGCCGTAACTAGCCATTCCTGTGCCCTGTGCAGAATTTGTATTTAGGCCCCTTAATTAATTAGGTTTGGGAAAGTAATAAAACAAATACATGCATTTTGGGCCCCTCTTTCAAGTAGGCCCTGTGCGGGTGCACCTGTTGCACCTATCTAGTTACGGCACTGTCTACAGAGATACTTAGCATTCCAAATGCAACTAAATTTGGTATGGGGACATTTCAGAACGTGCAGAAGATATTTCCGTTAAAAAATCTTAGTACCAAAATGCGCCACTATGGCACTGTTGGCGCTGCAAACAACGAAAAGGCAGTTTGATTTATGTGGACCTTAAAAAGTGGTTAGTTTAGACGTCTTGAAAAGCGATTTCACACTGCAAGTGAAAAGCATAACAAAGGAACCATTGAAAATACCGAGCGTCGCCTTCAGGTTTTACATCTTCAGAATGGAGACCACATTAAAGCAGTAGAATCCCCTGAATCGCTCAGGTGTGTATATAATGAGAGTACAAATAAAATACTTGTTACCTTCAGCTTCAAAAATGCCACAGTGGTGAGTTTTGGTACTAATTTTTTCCTACTTTTTTTACGGAGGTGTTCTGAAATGTTACCATACTAGACTCGGTGGCTTTTGGACTGCTAAATCTTTCTAAACAGAGTTGAAAAGAGGTACTTAAATTACTAACATAAAGTTACAAATATTAAAACTAACTTTCTTAAGTTGTTTAAAAAATTGGGAGATTATTATATGGAATCTAATTTCAAATATAATTTGAAATATTTAAAATTATAAAATGTCAGCATTCTTGATAAAATTATTTTAAAAAATATAGAAAATATTTATAAAATGTATTACATTAAAATCAAATAAAGTACTGTAAAGTGTATTACCAACTCAACTTTATGACGTGGTTTATAGCCTATTGTACACTGATTGTTTATTTTACAGAAGTAGAATTTTTTTTAAATCTATAATTACTATACCATAAAAATACTCATATTGAATCAGATGTTTTATTATTTTAGTTTTTTTTAACTTTTTCTCTGATCCTTCATTAATAAGGTATAAAATATAGAATTACTAACTATAAATACTTTATAAAATCTATTATAAAGTATTTTATATAATTGGATTATTGGATTTGTATGTATTGCATAAAATTTTCGCCATCTTTTGACATTCATACTATTTTTGTTCGGAAATGTTTTGCAATGATGCTTCAATAATACATAACAAAGAAAAATGTAAAGTTTTTAAATTCGAATTTCGCAGAAGCAAACTTTCTATATAAAAAGACTAATTATTTATAGACTAATAATAAACTTAAAATAAACTAAAAGTAACATTTCCCCATTTTATTTTTTGTCAAATAATGTCAAGATAAAGGTATATTGAAGTAATAAGACCAAAAACACATAAAATATTAAGTGTTTTTCAAAAGAATCCTATCTAACATAAGTTCATTTTTATTCTTGCTATAAGAACACTAGTAAAACTAGACAGATCGTTTTCAAAATAATACAATTTAAAATTTTGTAAATAAAGTTCATAATTATATAATTAGTGAAATAACCAACGATCACCTGAAAGATTCTAGCCTGATCTTTCAGGTGATCTATGGTTATTTCATTATACAGTAATACCCCGAACTTACGCAATAAGTGGGACCAAGCAATAACCGCATAAGTCGGGGTATAATTTCGCAATTTGTGTAAAATCCAATTCGGATGTATGTAAGCTAATAAATGTTCTCGTTAATCTTATCTCGCCTTTTGATTTGTTCACGGTTACAAGAAATCACCACATAGAGTCTCTCAAGTCTCTGTAGATATAACAAACACAGAAATAAATAACACAAAATAAATTATAGCTATGCGTCAATTCCGCGCGACACGTCCGAACATGTAAGCCGAACAATAGTGTGGGAGGTCTGAGTAATCAAGAGATGCGTGGCGCTCAAACAAAAGACGAATCGACGAGATTTGAAAATCGTGTAACTCCGGGTTCGCGTAAGTCGAGGTATTACTGTATACTCATTGGACTATAAGATGTTTATTATATATTTGGTCACTACTGTTGCTATGGCTATAAACATCTGTGCAATAAATTTAACCTAGTTCAAAAATTTACAGAAAGCAATGTAGAGAAAAGGCAATTGCTATTATTTAATAAATTTCATTANAGACAGATCGTTTTCAAAATAATACAATTTAAAATTTTGTAAATATAGAAGAGAATTATATATAGATTTAAATAAATGTTTGATTAATTAACTCCTTTATTGTCAGCTATAAAAAAATGTCAATTGTGACAAATTGTGTTCGATTATCTTCGTTGGATTTGATAGCTTTGCAAGTCCTTACAGAATTATCAGTTTAAGGATTACATTCGGTCCCGATAAGGAAACATTCATTCAAACATTCTCTTAAATTCATTTGTTCATTCAAAAAAGTTTTTACTTTCCCGGCTGTTATAACAGAAGGAAAGTATGGCAATCCGGCAAAAATGCTACCCCCAGATGTTTACTTTTTTGGACTTAGGACATCTTGAAACGTCAAGAAATGCAAAAAAAAAAAAAAAAAAAAATTCAGGGGTAATTTCTGTGTATGAATGTTAGTGTGTGTGTGGGCACGATTTTGTTCACCCACTTTGAAGCTTAATAACTCCCGTGCTTTTTGTCGAAAAATTCTAAAATTTTGCACGGTGGTTTGCATATTAGGGGGAAATATTTCTAAAATTTTTCGGAGAATCGGACAATTAGTTCGGGAGATATTAAGAAAATGGAGGTTATATCTCAAAAAGCTTCCAGGTTANTTATTTAAACTTACCTTAAAAAGTAATTTTGAAATAATGAAAACGTTGCGAAGCAAAATGCAAATTATTCGACGAACTAGTTAACTAGAAAATTTAATATGCGAAGATAAATGTTATATTGAATATTAATGTAGTGTCAGAAAATGAATCAGTGTTTTCTAACTTGTAAGTAAAGCTTTTTGAAACGAATCGTGCATTCACTTTGCAATACTGGCTGATCATAATTAAAGTACTCAATTCAACGATATCTACAGACAGTGCCGTAACTAGCCATTCCTGTGCCCTGTGCAGAATTTGTATTTAGGCCCCTTAATTAATTAGGTTTGGGAAAGTAATAAAACAAATACATGCATTTTGGGCCCCTCTTTCAAGTAGGCCCTGTGCGGGTGCACCTGTTGCACCTATCTAGTTACGGCACTGTCTACAGAGATACTTAGCATTCCAAATGCAACTAAATTTGGTATGGGGACATTTCAGAACGTGCAGAAGATATTTCCGTTAAAAAATCTTAGTACCAAAATGCGCCACTATGGCACTGTTGGCGCTGCAAACAACGAAAAGGCAGTTTGATTTATGTGGACCTTAAAAAGTGGTTAGTTTAGACGTCTTGAAAAGCGATTTCACACTGCAAGTGAAAAGCATAACAAAGGAACCATTGAAAATACCGAGCGTCGCCTTCAGGTTTTACATCTTCAGAATGGAGACCACATTAAAGCAGTAGAATCCCCTGAATCGCTCAGGTGTGTATATAATGAGAGTACAAATAAAATACTTGTTACCTTCAGCTTCAAAAATGCCACAGTGGTGAGTTTTGGTACTAATTTTTTCCTACTTTTTTTACGGAGGTGTTCTGAAATGTTACCATACTAGACTCGGTGGCTTTTGGACTGCTAAATCTTTCTAAACAGAGTTGAAAAGAGGTACTTAAATTACTAACATAAAGTTACAAATATTAAAACTAACTTTCTTAAGTTGTTTAAAAAATTGGGAGATTATTATATGGAATCTAATTTCAAATATAATTTGAAATATTTAAAATTATAAAATGTCAGCATTCTTGATAAAATTATTTTAAAAAATATAGAAAATATTTATAAAATGTATTACATTAAAATCAAATAAAGTACTGTAAAGTGTATTACCAACTCAACTTTATGACGTGGTTTATAGCCTATTGTACACTGATTGTTTATTTTACAGAAGTAGAATTTTTTTTAAATCTATAATTACTATACCATAAAAATACTCATATTGAATCAGATGTTTTATTATTTTAGTTTTTTTTAATGTTTAATAAGGTATAACACGATCAATATTCTAGTAAACTATATAATTTTGTATTATCAATTGGTTTATTAAATTAAATCCTCGACAATTTCAAAAAAATATAAATTATAGAAATATCATATATTAATTTTCTTGAAAAACTAATCAGATTTAGATTTAGCGATAGAAAAGTAAATCGTATTAAGAATTCTTAAAAATGTGATTCTGTCACAAAAATGACTAAAATAAACTATTAAATCTAACATAATCGGATTTTCTACTAGTATTTTCTTTTAAAATTATAGATTAGACTTTCTGAGAGATTTTTCATGATAAATTTAAATGTTAACGTTTTGTAAAATAAGTTTATTAAGATAACAGCTACTTATAATTAATATCTTATAAATAATAAGTAAAATTTGATGCAAATATTAATTAATAATTTATAAAACGTTATTAATTCTTTTAATTGTATTTTGCAATATTTTTCTAAAGTCAAATTAAACATATAACACAAAATGAGACATCTTAATCTCACTATAACAGATATTTCAGACAAAAAAGAGAAAAACAAAGAAGAATTTCGATGTAGATCAAGATTATTTTCTAAAATTCTAACTTGTAAGATTTTTGACATCATAAATTAGGCTTTGATTGATAAATAAATAGTGACTACAAGAATAAAGATTAAATTGATATTATATCTTACATCACATAATTATAATTTATTATATGTATAAATATAACAAGTATTTATTGATACACTTACAATATAAAACTGGTTTAAAACTTACCTTACAAATTATTTCCCATATATCAAAACAAATATATAACAACACACATAGATTGCAACGAAAATATATTCCATCATATACTAAAATTTTTTTTTATATTGTTTAGGAGGTCATGAAGAGACTTGTAAGCCGATACATTCACCAAACCAAGAAACAGCTGAGGCAGGATGGTGTCAACGAAGACGACCTCTTAGAGATAAAACAAGATATTTCTAGTTTGAGGTAATGCATAGAAAGATATTTATATATGATATGAGCAAGCATATTTAATGTCTTTTCAAATATATTAAATATATCTTTAAATATTTATAAACACTTTTATAATCTACTTAATTATATATTTATATGTGCAATAATAAACTTATATTTATTGATATTTTTAAACAGAATTTTCGAAAATTTTTAATAAAATTTCTCTCGTGACATTCTTGTAACCATAGTCATAATGTTTTTCTCGATTATTTCTCTCTGTATAAAGAAATTTTTATGCGAATAAATATAAATTCTATAAATAAATTATTTAAAAATATATAAATTCAATATATTAAAAACAAATATTTAAGTAAACTCGGATCTCGGCATAACGATTACCGATATGATAAATCCCTCCATAACGATAAGAATTATAGTTCCTTGCGCAAATCGTATAAGTTTAATGGAAAACTTCTCCCGATTGAACGATATCTTCTATTTTGATAAATCTTATTTTAGTGATGGCCTACATATTTTTAGCGTACTCTTGAAATGCTCAATATTTTCCTTTCTGTACAACGATAATAATATAATAAATTAAATTTTAATTAATTTTAAGTTATCGTTCGTTTTTATAATCGAAATGTGGTACTCTTTTAATATAATGATTCTACCACGAACGTCACCTGAGATAAATAGACATCAGACGAAAGCAGAATTGCCGGATTTAGCATGCTTTTGTTGTTTTAGTGCCTAATATTTTTATTTAGCGTTCTCAATTAAGTATCATTTCTTGCTTTGTTTAGCTGAAATGTTAGTTTTTTGGCAAAATTCTTGATACATTTAACAGTAAATGACAGATGTAACCAGTTTTAACCTTTTTAGAGCAGTTTAGTGATTTTTTGGCACTTTCTGGGCTCTAATACATCATTTCCAGATTTTTTTAAAAGAAATTATAAATTATAGAAAACATGTACAAGACGTTATAGTCAAAAATCGAAATCCTCCAGAACCTGACCTTATCAGATAAAAGAAATTGCAACAAAGCCTTTTTTACTTTTATAATCAGTGTCATTTGCAGGACTGAGACATTCCTGCACAATTTCTGGAGAACTTTGTTATATTAAACTCATTAACGTAATAAAATTGTGTTAGAAAGTATACGGGGATTTCTTAATGTTACAAATTATACTTATTAAAATAATTACAAAAAGCATTCTCCTTAAGAAATTATATTTTAGAATTAGTTTAGTTTTGCTTTTTTAGTTTTAATTTTACTTAGTTAAAATTTGCCTGGAAACATTCAAGTTCTGACTAATTTTAGATTTTGATGTTTTAACATATACCATAGAAATAATATGAAATAAAATCACTTAAATCCTTTATTATAGGAGATTAATAATACTATATGTTTTCTGTTTTAATATTGTATAACTTTACAGAAATAACCGTATTTGTAGGCCGATAATGTTAAGTAAAGAATGCGGATACATTTAAAAAAAAACTATCATTATAATAATAAATCTCTCTACAATACTTTTACAAAACGTTATATATATCCGTTATATATTTATATATAAGTAATATTAATAAAGAATATTTACCTGTACAACAACTTATATTTTAAAATATTTAAATTATATTTATCTATATTCACTGTTTCATTATAAAGTCGAAATTTTTCAATTAAGTTATATCTTTCAAATTACCAATAATAAAAATTTGTTTAATAGAATTTTTATCTGTTAAAATTTAAAAAAAAAATACATAGTAACTATCGACAAACGTATTGAAAATATTATACTTAATTCAAAAAATAAAAACAATAATAAAAATAATGTCATGGTATTTTAAAAATTTAAACATATCTTTTCTACGTCAGTATCTTTAAACCATTTGGGGACATAAAGTTTAATTTAATTGCATTGCTCTTAATCAAAAAGATGAAGTAAAATATGTTTAATTATAGGAATAACTTTCAATTTATTAAAATGATTTTTAATAATCAATGCCCATAAAATTTTACGAATTTCTCTAACTTAATTTAGGTTAATTACCAAATCTATACTTTCATCAGTATCGTAAAAATAAATTTATAGAAGACATTTTAAATGTATACAGATTTAAACATTTAACTTAATTGACATTTTCTAGTTTTCTGTGACAATAAATATCCTAAATGAATAGTTTCAGACATTTTATGAAGGAAGAAAATTCATTTATTACGTTATTTTTCGTGCGATGAATAAACGTTAATTTCATACTTTCTCATTAAGTCTTTTCTTATAGGTACGAACTTCGTGAAGACAGAAAACGTGAAGCTGCTAGAAATACCGGACAAATCGATGGTATTAAACGTGATATAATTCGTTCTTTACGAGGAAATCAAGTGTGGACCGGCCAGATCCCACCTCCACCTCCTATTCCACCTCCAGTGTGCCACAGTCCCAATTTACCCCCTTCAGAACTTCCGAGTCCAGGAAGTGCCGGATTTCTTTCACCACATGAATTGGATTATTTAAAAAGAGATATTATTGCGAGTGTGAGAGAAGAATTACGTAATATGATGCGTGAACTTCAACAGCATTTAAGGCCTCCGTCGGCTGCATCTCTTGGTCCGACTGCTCCTCCTCCAATGAACTCTGAACTGTATCACACTCACCTATATACCGAACTCTGACGAGAGGTGTGATCTTGTATATATATTGTCTTTTTTATAAATGCTGCAAGCTATTTACTGTACATAAGATACTCAACTAGGATCGATTGCTGGTTGTATGGGAACAGCTGGAGGTGACAAAGCAATATAATTTGTCAGTACTGTAGATTCAGTAGTCTGCAACATGCCCGTCTTCCAGAATCTTGACAGTTTTACCGCCTCGATGTTCTTTTCCTCGTTTTGAAATAAAAGCGATATTTCTTAATGTCATAATTGTTTTAAATAGAGGAAATATAAAACAGGCGAGTAAATGCCAAATTTTATAGATGGTAACTTGTCTCTGTTGTAACATTGATTTCTATTAAAAGAAATATCGTTATTTCATTCTCATCCCAACAGCAATAATGCCGACAAGTCTTATACTTGCGAATATCTCCCAAGATGAGACGACAAATCGACGTCCAATTGTGGAGAAGTATAATTTTCTATGCAACTTCTATTTACAAGTGAGAAGTTATAGAACCTCATAAATATATCTTTGCACTGTAGATATGAAATTCCGACTTTTACTTGCACTGTATTGATGCCCTTGGAAAAACAATGTGAATGAAAATAGCATTAGTTTCAAGATCTAAAACCAGATTGTATATACATATATATACAATAATAAAAAAATATATATGTATAGTATATATATATATAAAATAATACATATTTTTAATGGACTGCCAATTCCTGCCCGGTGTTGTATCACCGTATTTAAGATGGGATACGATATGTGCCTGTTTGCAAAAATTTGAGCTAGAAATAATATTTCTAGAACTGAAAGAACCCTATATTCTCGTAAAGGAAGCTGGAACGACTGTGATGATAGAACAAGTATAAAAATATGTCGATCGATTATTTTTTCCATTTGTTAGAAAAAGCTTTCAATGTGTTAAGTTTTCTCATAGAAATAATTATTTATTTATTCATCAGAAGAATATTTACAAACGAATTGAAATAGTTTAAAAATAAATATTAACAAGTTAAAAAAAAAAATACGATTCCTTTCCCTAGGAAGCTGTTTCAAAAACTTGTTCTTTCTTTAGGTACAAATAAAATATATAAACGAGTTACATATATAAGCTTAGATTCTATGAAATAATAAATTATATTTGTTTTCATATTGTTTCTGTTTATTCCTCGTTTAGAATCACATCTTCAACAAATGATTCAATGAAATGTAGTAATTGTGTATGAAACACTGCCATTCTTTCATTAAACTATTAAAATAAAATATAAAATTAATAATAAATTAAAGAAATATTAAAATAAATATTTTAAATATAATTTTAAAACAAATCGATTTGCTTAGATATTCGGAAGGATCACATATTAAATGCTGTACAGGATTTATCTGAAGTGCTGAATAATCTGAAAAATAAATAAAATTTTTAAAAATATTTAAAAATTTTTATTCTGTTTTATTTTAACAAATAAGCATTTCGTATTCCATAAATTTTAAAACAAGAAAAACTGCTGTAACAATATAATTTTCCAACCTAAAATGACAAATGCTTTCACGCAATCTGCATCTTCAGGTGTTTCTGACATTTTCTTTATTCAAACTTTATTAACTTTAGCACGTTGTTTTATTCATTCGTAATTATATTTATTTGTTTAATTTTTACTGTAATATTTTCTTCAAAAGTACTTTTCTGAATTTTTTTATTTTTAAACTATAAAATTACAAAAATTAAAAATTTATTTATTTATGAAATAGTCAAAGAGTACCCCTCCCTTATTATGAAATTTATTTTAAATGAACTTATATTTTTTTTATTTTTTGAAAATATGAAAATTAGTAAGAAACTTAATTTTTCTTTTGAAATTTATTCCTATAAACATTATTAAAATGCAAAGGGTCAGATAAATAGCTAAATTATTTCAATCTTTTTAAATACGAATGGAAAAGTTGATATATTTCTTTAAATAAACTAATTTGATTTATACCTTAATAAAAATAAAAATAAAAATAAAAAAGGATTTTACTTGGTGTCGCATTCTTTATCGGAAAAAATTCAAATTTTTAGAGAAACTTAGTGATATTTGACCTATATTTTTGTCCTCATTCGATACTTTAAAAACTACATACAGTAGTAAAAATATTTAGATAAGTACGCTATATTAATACTAAAACTTTAACGATTGAAACGTTGAAAATATTTATAAATATTAATATACTTGTACTGTACATATGTATATTATAATTTCATAAATTATGCAGCAAAAAATAAAAAAAATACAAATCATGAATAAATATGATGTATTAACTATTATTTTAATTAAGAAAATAAATTAATAAATAATTAATTAAATAAAACTAATAAATTAAATAATAATATTTTATAAAACGTCTATTTAAAAATAGTCTAAAATTAAACATTCTTTTCATAAAATATTTTTTATCAATCTAATTAAATTAAATACAATACTGTTAACTAAATAAATAATATGATAAACAATACTTTACAATAAAGATCTATATGATTTTTTTATAGTTTATTTCGTATAATTACAGATATAAGAATATAATTAATATTCTTATTTCTATACCTACAATTTACTATTGGGAATTATTATATTTATATTAAGAAAATATAATACAGTATTTTTAAAGCATAATATATTAAAGAAATATTTCTAAAATTTTAAAGATTTCTTCCAACAATTCAATAATCAGAACTAAATCACTTTAATTCATTTTGATATTTCTGAAACGAAGATCATACATAAAATTACTTTTAAATATTATAAATGTAATGTTATAGGGTTATAGAATTTGATATAATTATTGTGTTATTTCTACTGGTAACAATTCTAATTGATGAGAATCGATAATGCAGCATTTACGAAATAAAAATGAATCTCCTTATAGTTGTTTCATGATTCTTCGTGAGTTCACAAAATCAATAATTCCTATTTAGATGTAAATTAATTTTATCTCATTTGTTAGAATTTTTTCTAATTAAGGAAGTAATTCATCGATCATTTTTTTTAATTTTTTATTTCTTTAGCTAATTCTAGAAACTGTAAACAACAAACTGCTAGTGAACTTACTTTCGTTATCTTCAATATTACCGGATGAGTAATAAAAGATCGAAGAGTTTCTTCATTCAAATAATCAGAGATAAACTGTTGCCTATCGTGCATTTTAATCAAATTCTATTGCAAAGCAGATAAGATTATAGTAACACGTTATCTATTTAAAGGCATTCTGAATAGGAGTATTCCTTAACTCATTCTTCTGCCATTAAAAATTAATTGATTGCCTAAAATTTCAGTATGATTGATTACTATAATCGAATTTTCTTGAGATTCCAATATTTACTAGATTTTTTAATAAAAGCGTGTACATAATAGTATAAATCTACTTGATCAATTGTAAATTTGTTCATTCTTCAGATCAAGTAATTTATCAAATGAAGAAAATGGCTAAATCGACATAATGGTCGTAAGAGATAAGATAATATTAATAGTCATTTATTATTAATTGTCCACATTGTTAAAATACAACAGAAAAAATATCTTTGCATTTTATGCAGTATACTTCATTTTTTTGTTTTTGTAAATACTCTTTTTATTGGAGTTTTATTGAAGTTGTTACTGAATTAAACATTTAAATAATATTTAAGTATCAAAATATGTACAGTACCTTTTATAATGTTTTTGCAATAGCATCGTCATAAATTTAGCCGAAATTTAAATCAGGCAACTTAAAATTTAAAATTTTCAATAAGAAATTTGAAAATGCTGCAAATTTTGATACTAAAAGTTTTGTGTATTAATAAGTTTAAATAATCAAATTTTTCAGAAAAAAAAATTATATGTATTTCCATGAATTTATTGTCACAAAAATCTATCTCTAATATTCTGTCACTAATTCTACTTGAATTCCACTTAATGATAATCAAAACAATCTAGAAATTCATAAAAGAAAGTCACGTTTCGTCTTCAATAACAAGTCCCTTTGTTAAGATTCGATTCGATCGGACACGTTTTAAGATTTTAATCAAGTAAAATTATTATATGCTATATTAAGAAGTTTTTACTTTGTTTTGATACCCGCGGAAATAATATACCGAGCTTAATGTATATAATTTTGTTAAAATTAATTATAATGAAGTGGCAAATATTTATGAATTTGATACAGTAAATTCAACTCAGAATACATCAAAGTTAAAGTTAATAATATCACATCTTGATGTAGAAATAACAAAAATAAATGCGAATTTACTATATTAAATATTTGATCATAGTTAATTTAATTTTCAATAAAAATTATCCATTTATTTATTTTTTAAAAAATACCTCTTTTAATGTTACCATTTTATGTAAATACAAATAATATGTTTTAGATCATGCTTGTTTAAAATTTTTAATGTAAAATTTAAAATTAAATTATACTGAATTATCCTAAAGAAAAAAAAAATTTATATTCGAAATATAGTTTAAGAGTTTTTACAATTCATTATAAAATGAATGGAATAAATTATGAAATTTTTCGCCTTATAAAGACTGTACAGTTTTCTTGAATAAAGAAATCAATAAGGAGACGATAGTAAATAAATAATACAGGAATCAAATGAGACAGTTAAAACACAAAAGCTATTAATATTTTACTTCGTTATTATACTTAAAATTAATATTCAAAACAGAATATAACAATCTATTCAAATAATGTCGCAATTTATACAAGTTTTAAACGCGAATTTTACTTGATGAAACTTGTTTTCATTTAATATAAGTTTATTTTCCTTAAACAAAAATGATATTATATTTTAATATCAATTATATTTCAAAAGTAAGTTAACACGATGAATAAAACATTATTTTATGAAAAAATTATACAATTATAAAAGTAAGCATTTGCAGAATTAAAATGTAACAAGAAAAGTATAAGATTTGTGTACAGTAATCCCTCAATTTATGCGAATTCACTTTAATGCGGCTTAAAAATTTTTAAATTTTAAATAATCAACTTTATGAAAATAAATGATAGTTACATCAAAAAGTGTGTACTGTATTTTGTTATCAGTAACATCTTGTACAGACATATATTTAAAAAAACAACTTTAGTTGAAATTTTCTACCCACTAAGAGCAAAATATTGTATTTAAGAATATGGAACAGATTCTTATTTTAAACAACTTTACATAACTCCATTTACGGTAGTAATTGGTTACATGAAAACCGCGTAAATGGTTTTAATTTTACGAAACATTCATATTAAGAATGTAGTTGAACATAATGCAAATGCATCGAAATGAATTTTTTAATCATCTAGTAATGCAAACAATTATATTTTTATCTTTCCATATTGTAAATTATACTTTTTCACAAAAAAGGGTTCCTGTAAAGGATTACCCAGACCACCAATACACCCCTTTTAAAATGAAGGGAAGTGAGTTTCATCAAAAACCCTTAAAATTTTCATAAGTAAATCGAATTCGCTGTATCAAATGGTGACATTTTCAATTTCCGAAACTGACCAGAAGTGGGGTATCCAGGCCGGAAGTAGAATTTTTAATTAGAACATGATTTTTTTTAAATTTAAATTGGGTTCACTCGAAAAAGTAAGAACATTTTGTTTCAAACATTTTTTTCTGAAAATGCCTCCATTGACCATAAAAGATCTTGAAAGTGTGTTGTTCGAAGAAAAATGATACTGTGAAAATAAAATATCTTACGTTAAAAATATCTTTATTAACGTACTGTACTGTCGATGTAGGCGAAACATAATAAAATATTGGCACAATAATAACATGAAATTGTCGATGAGATAACAAAACTTTTTACTACTGCTACATAGTATTTTTGTTCGTTTAAACTCTTCTGGCATAACCTACTTGGCTCTGATTTTAACTGCTGTTCGATCAAAATGTTCAAACTGATCACTGTTCTAATCAAAACAAGCATCTATTCTTCTTGAAAAAGAATTTGTTGCTTAAAGTACTTCGTTGGACACGACTACATATCACTAACACACCTTTGATAGTTGTGTAGTCTAATTGAAAGTGTAATGTTTGCGTTTGTTGACACTGAATATTCAGCAAACTAAAAAATATTATATGAAACGGATTGTAATAACGTTTCACCAAGAAAAGTTTATCACACTTTTAAGATCATTTTATGGTCAATGGAGGCGTGTTTGGAAAAAATGTTTGAGAGGAAACTATCTTTTGTTTTCTCCGAATTTAAATTAAAAATA